GAGCGCAGCTGAACGAGCCTGCGCAGTGCCGGGGCACAGCAAACGTGAGCGTGGGCCTAACGCACAGCCGGAGCTGAGCCTTTCCCAGACGGCCCTTCCCAGACCGCTCCTCAGGCGCTCGATCCGTTCTGCCCCGTCATGCAGCCCCCAGTCCTCCGTCACCGGCTGAGAACTGCCACTACCCCACCACATCCATCACAGTCCGACTCGCTCCTCGAGGACAGTGTCGTGGGGGCCCATGTCCACCCGCACCAGGGGCACACAACCACAGCAGTCCCCCACCCCGGCACCTCCGCTCCTCGCTGTCCGACACTCAGGGACTCTGAAGAACACGTAGCAAGTGTTTTTCAGCCGCCTGACCCTCCAAGTGTATCCTCTCTTTCAGCGTGGCGAGAATGGCCCCCATGGAGAGCTCCACAGTCCAGTTTGAGATCACTCCCTACAAGAGTGGCACCAGGCAGCTTCAGGTGGACTTGGTTTGCGCCCATTTTTCAGACATCAAGGGATTTGTGATGCTTGATGTGGCTCCTGCCCAGTGACGCGACACCAGCTCGTCGGCTCACTCACGCGCAGTTCTGACGGGGAGCACAGAAATCAACGCCAGAGTGGTGTAACACGAACGGAAATGAATAAACAGGCACAAAACACTCTACGGGGCAGCCAGGGCCATCGTTTTCCTTCCCTAACCTGTTTTACAGGCCTTCATGAACAGAATTCCTATTGGACACGGCTGTACAATGTACTGTGAGTGGCAGGATCAGGTGTGACGGTGGTCAGCATCAGAGCCCGTAGCAGTGACAGCGGCTGCATTTCCACGGAACACCGCTGAGCATCACTACTTGCATCAGTGCCACCGAGCACCGTTTCTGACCCTCACTAGTACGCTTCACGCAGTAACAGCCGAAGTACTGTCCAAGCAGCTGACACGGTTCGATTCTAGAGCAAAATTTATCATTTCGTCTAATTACTAGAAGGAAAATACAGCCCCAAGATACGCAGTGTCACAGCAGAACTCTCTGCTTATGACTGGAAAAATGAGAAGCGACGCAAAGCCCAGTCCCCTCTAATGCACAGTTTCCCTATTCAAGTCATTATTTAACCACGTAGTAAGTTACAGATAATGAAATGTTCAGCAAAGAAACAACAACAACAGCACAAAAGCAGATAAAGAAACATGACCCTGACTAAGGAGTGGCAAACACTACAGCATACGAAATTATATCGGCCTGGAATAGCAGCTGTTCCTGAGGACTGGAACGAAACAGACCATACTGAACCGGGAAGGGGTGATCCGCCTCGTGGACCAAGACACCTTCACTCACACACACAGCTCCTCACACGCACCCTGTCCCCAGACACTCAAGAGTTCTTTCTGGATGACCTAAATGAATGAAACTTCTCCGCAGATAAAGCGATAAATCACTTCCACAGCCAACCTGGCTGAGAACATTCCTATCACTGCCGTACCACACGTGGGCACCACAAAATGCCCTGTATACACAACCTGCCATTCCCCTCCCGCAGTCCCAGTGATCACCCACCTCAGTGGGCTCTACCCAGAGAGCAAGAAAAGCATTTGGCTCTTGAGAGGGGAGAAAAAGGTATTTAACAAGGAAAACAGACTGAAAGAGCGGGCTTACAATCCCTTCACTACAAGTTCAACCCCAAACCTTGTTCAGCTGGCTGCACCCCTACAACCGCCATCTCTCAGAGAAGCTTCTGCATAATACATCTGGCCTTTTAATGTGAAACTGTGTTTGAATCAACTGACATTTTCCCAACAGCTTCCATGACATTTCTGGTTGGCTAACACTGCCTTCAGGTATGACAAGCTCACGGCGGCAGGAATACATGGGAATTCTCTCACAGCTGCTCAGGAGTGCAAGCACACGAACGAATCTCCTCTCCTCCCGGAGCACAAGGTTTGATCAAGCCCTTAACCTCCACTGGCTAAAGTCTTCTCCCATCAGCCACACGCAGACATGTCACTCCTACTCTTAGGTAAGAGAATATAACCTGTAGAGATATTATTAATGTAGTTAATACATTAATAAACAGCATTCTTCTAAAAGATGTGGTACGGAAATGCCTGGGCCCCAGTTCACTCTTTTTAATAAGCACTAGAAGGAAAACATGAAGAACTTTCATTCTTACAGGTGGTTAGATTTCAGGACATGAGAAATGTGAACAATTCACAAGAAAAGAGAACATTGAACTAAAGAAAGAGTCAGTGTTTGCCAGGTCAGAACCTTCTCCCTGTACCACCGGCACAAGCGGCCCAACTTGCCTGTGAGGCCACTTGAGAAAAGGCAGCCTGGGACCTGTAGATTTTTGTACTGGCTACCTGCAGGGCTGTTACTCGCCCAAGGCTGCTGCCACACACCTCACCCAGCCCCGTGTCTGTGTCTCACAAACCCAGTGCATCTGCCTTCGGGCTGCAGGAACTTCTCTGTTTCCTTTCATCCCGGTATCGTAAAGCAGACGGGAAAACACTGACCGATCCTTCTGTTTGCAAGGTGGGATCTTTGCAACACTTCCAGAAGTGCACGAGACGGGAAGGGAAGGCCCAGGACAACATAACCACATGGATGTATGAAGGCTCACAATGAATTCACACATCCTCATTCCACAAAGCTGCTTAAAGCAGACCATCATTTTCTGTGAGGAAGGCATTATGCCACCCATCCCCAAACCCTGGTACTACGTCCATTTATTCCTTGCGGTGTTAACAGGCCAAATCCGCAAAGATCTGCACGTTCCTAAGAGCCAGTCTGACCTTCTGACAACACGCAGCGCTGCGGCTGTGCAGCAGCACTGTCCCAGCATCCCCCCGAATGCTGCACATGCCCACCCCGTGTCACAGGTTGAACTGAGGTCCCTTTTAAATTTCTTTGATTTAAAGGTGACAAAACCCTCAACACAGGTAAACTCCTGTTTTATTACATCAATTACAGTATTTTGCCACCCAAACGTAACTTCCAAGGGATGCGGAAGCTTGTCAAAACTCATCAGCCCAGAGCGACTGGAAGATTGAAAAGGACACACAGAGGAAGTCAGATTCCTCCACGGAAGGAGAGGGAACAGGCAGCTTTGCACCTATTCCTTAAGCGCAGGATCTCGGAAAGCCAGGGCATACAGTCCTTCCCTAGGCTCAGGAAAGGCTATGAGGCATAGGGGGTATTTCACAGAATCACATGGGATCTCGCAGGGACGCAGCCTGTCATCACGTTTAACACAGAGTATGCCAAGCCACCCCCATTCTCCCAGTATTTCTTCTTAAACCCCATCCAGGAAATGATTTCAGACTGTTTGTCACACAAGCCTGGAATGACCTCATCTTAATTGCCCTTCTGGAAAGGCAGCTGGCTGTTCAGAGGAACCTCAGCCCTCGAGCGGGTGCCGCGTTCCAAGCTCTGCAACACTCGGGTGTCAGCACCACCAGCCGCCCTCGGCCACCACACCCACCTCAGCGCAGCCTTCAAATGCACATCTGGCCAGGGCCACCCACGAGAAACGTACATTCTTCCTGCGTTAGGCAACAACTGCTCAATCAAACTAATGGTTATTCCAGGGAAAGATGCCTACGTGCTGCAGGAAGGACCTAAACAGCATCTGCCAAACCTACAACCCTTCCGCAGCCAGTCAGCGAGAGCCGGCGGAGTAGAGCACAGTCTCCTGTACTCTTCTTTGTCAACATGCAGTTTGAATGAGAGCGTGCCCAAAGGCCGCCCCAGCCCTCATTCCATTGTGATCACTCAAAACAATCCCACGAGCACTTGCCAGTGTGACACACGCGTTGCTGAACTGGTCTGGAAAGACACTGACATCAGCCTGCAAGCCGGTGAGTTTCTCCTCACTATTCTGTCCCCCTCATCTACGCGTCTAGCGCCGTGATTCAGGCAGTCAATACAACTACTCTCCTTTCGCAGGTCAAAACACCTCAAACCAACCCGAAACAGTCCACGTGGACACTCAAAGCGCTTAGTTCTGTCACCAAAGCTGCAGCGCTTTACCCCCTGGCACCCGTCCCCCCCGCACACGGATGGCGGGGGCACCGCTCGCTGCGCGTGCCAACGCAGAAGGCACGGGATGAGCGCTGCTTGTTGCGCTACAGAAACAGGACGCTCCTCCAGGAAGGAAAATTCACACCTGATCCACAGATACACCGCACCAGAGCTGGCAGCGAGATGCAGAAGAGGGAAACTTAGATGCAGCAGCTGTTGATTGCAGCACTCCAGGAGGCAGTTTTACAGACGCTCACGTGACATTTTAAGCTCCTATTTTTATAGGGAATAAAGATTTTTATGGATTTGATGGACCTATAAAAGCGTAAGAATCCCCACGCACTATAAAGGTAACAGCGACATCCAGGCAGGATGGATACTTTGAAAGATCCCATGGATCACTTTTCCCTTAGATTTCTGTGAGCACGTCGGGGATGGAGTCGATCCTGAACAGCGACAACACGTGCCTCGACCCGGACAAAGACTTCCCCAAACATCAGTGCAAGAAGTGAGTCCAAAAGGGGTACAAAATCTGCTCATGACGTAAAGCCACTCCAGCTGCTGAGGACGCAAAAGCTACGAGGAACTTCAGAGGGTCTCACACAAGGCAAAACAGATGAGAAAGTAACAAGCGGTGAGATTCAGGCTGAAAAACGCAGGCTGGAAAGTCATTTTTCATCAGGCACCAGGCAGGGTACGACAAGAGCAGGAGGAGCACGAATAGATGCTCAACTCAGGCTACAGCATCTCCTGTTTCTGTGATTCCCACTAATGACAGACTGGACCGTGAAGCAGACGGGGGGCACTACTGCAACGAGGATTTGTTGTTAACAAGAGCTCTCGGAGCAATGTTCAGTCCTGGATATTGCGACATACCCAGCCTTGAAAACCATCAGCTGTGAGGTGGTGCCTTAGCTGCTGGGGGGGAGCTCCCGCACGGTCTCCTGAGGCGTCTGACCCTGCTTCCTGTCGCAGACCAGACTGCACCACGTCAAACTCCTCTCTGACCCAGCCCAGAGAGTCGTACCTGCTTATGTTTCCGGCGCGCTTCAGCGACAAACACAGGTTTGGACGCGGTGAGCTGCGAGGTCTGCGTGCGGATTCCTACTGAATCCTTGCAACCAAGAATGGAATTCACTCGGCTAAGTTCATGGATCTTGGGGGAGGTTCCACATGCGGATGCCCACAGCCCCAGGCGCAGAGGCCGTCTGCAGAAAGCAGGTCCGTTACAGCTGGACATTTCCAAGCGACGGCATGTGCCAGCAGCAGGACCAAGGTGTGTGTGAAGGCAGATCGTGTTCACAGCCAGTTCTCTGCTCCCAGTCTGTAACGCACGTCCTGCACAGCAACTCTTCCTTGCAGTTGCAGATTTGACCAGGAGATGGTAGTGTGCGTTAAACAGCCATTGCACAGCAGCAGTGGTGAGAAAAACACCTGCTTGTGCCTGCACCGCTCTGAGTTAGCGTTCACCAACACGCACACTGAAAGGTGCATTCGAAAACACCGATCAGAGGTTGGTTCGCAATCAACCGCATTTGCACACACTGAAAGAGCACGAATCAGTCGTTACATACAGCATTTAGCTCTGTAAATAAACCCAAGGTCAGGGCACAAACCAAAATCACACCTAACTGACACTGAAAAAAGTATGTTGACAATAAACTCTCAGAACTCTCTGGAAGATCTTCCCTAGGTGCCTGTATTTAGTGTTTCCCAATTTCCGCAAAGCTGCTGACCTCCATCCAAGCTTCCTTACAAAAGCCAGAGCAGCCTACGACGTGCCCTCGCTGCCCAGGGCAACGGCACCCGGGCTGCGTTCGGTAAAGCAGCGCCAGCAGCCGAGGGGGGTCCTGCCCCTCTGCCCAGCGCTGCTGAGGCCACCCCCGGAGTGCCCAGTGCTGGGCTCCCCACGACGAGACACGGAGGGGAGACCCGGACGCGCGGGAGAGTCGGGGGAGCCGCAGAGGCGATGGAGGGGAAGGAGCACCGCACGCACGAGGGAAGGCTGATCGAGCTGGGCCCGTTCAGCCCCAAGAACGCCCGGGGAGGAGCTCATCCACGTATCTAAATACATGAAGGGAGGGTGGAAAGAGGACAAAGCCGGGCTCTTTCCAGTGGTGCCCAGAGACGGGACCGGAGGCAACAGAACAACCTGAAACACAGGACGTTCCCTCTGAACACAGGAAACACTTTTCACTGGGGGTGACTGAGCGCTGGCACAGGCTGCCCAGAGAGGTCAGAGTCTCCATCCCTGGAGATCCTCAAGAGCCGCCTGGATGTGCTCCTGCACAACCCGCTCTAGGTGGTCCTGCCTGAGCAGGGGGTCGGACGCGATGACCTCCAGCCTCCCCTTCCAGCCTCAGCCGTTGTGTGCTGCTAGAGTGTGAATCTATACAACTAAGGCTATGCTGCCCATCACCAAAACCCACAGAGTTCGCATTTCTGACACACACAAACCAACAACTGGAAGTGTAATATGCAAATACTGAGAAGCCACCAAACACACGGGATCACGCTGTGCAGCAGCTCTCTAGTGTAAGCCCAGATCTCCTGTCAGGCTCCACCCGTCTGCGACGGCATCGCTGCTGACACATCACGCGGGAACCTCTTCCTACAGCACATGTGCCTGCACTGACCGCTGCTTGCTCCCGTCATTCAGTATCTGCAGATTCCTCTGCCACTCTGCCAAAGCTGCCTCCCTCATCTTTCCTGCCCAGAGTAACCGAGCAAGCTTTGCCACCTCCTGGCTTTTTATTGGCTTCTGAAAGCATTCCTGAATTTGTGGACAGTCACGGATTTCTGCAAAACTGCTGCTGACTCACTCCACAGTCCCATGGAAAGCGGTGGATTGTGCTGTCTTACTCCCAGTCTTTTGACCAATTGTTTATCAGTGCAGGGACCTTCCTCTCCCCTTGGGGCGACTTGAACAATGTGTTCAGTCCAAGGCTCCAGGCTGATATTCTTCATGGTCCGCATTACGCTACAGAAATTCTACATGTTCTCATTGTTGCTTTTAACAAGTTTCCTCGTTCGGAAGTGGTTTCACTTTTCCGAATGAGGCACAAGGGCAGGAGGTGTATTGACTTGGTTTGAACCCCCCGACGGGCTGAGGATCCCCGCAGCTCAGGGTCGGCGTTGCAGAGCAGCTCGTCAGCACAGACAGTGGAAGCGCCCTCGATGCCTTGTTTAGAGCCCACGCTGGGGTCCCCAGCGCACAGGCCTCACATCCTGCTGTGGAACACCACCTCCTCCCTTTCTGTGGGTGTCAATGTGCTCTGAGCGATAAGAGAGTCCCCAGCTCCTGCGCAGCAGGCCGAGATAAGCTGGGAGGTGGCAACATCACGACCCACCCGTTCAAAGCAACCGAGCAAACAACTTGGCAAGAGGGTCACTTTTAAAGGAAGCTGAAGGAAGTAGCCATTTCCCAGCAGAGCCAACAGGAGCCGTCGGGGTGCCAGGAAGCAGCCATGGGTCAAGGTAAGCAAAAAACACTTTGGTTAGTGCCAGGCACTTGCCCGCTGCCTGTCGGGAAAAACAACTCTCCCTGCTGCAAGCCAGCACCATTGAGGCTTCATAGAGGGCAGGAGCCAAGAACGTGCTCCAAAGGCTGAGGACTTCCCGTCGCACAGAGGACGACACGAAAGGGACAGCAAAGGGGCTGGTAGGAGCACGGGAGGAGAGCTGGAGAGCAGCAGCGAGAGGCGGCCGTGAAAGTCCGGAAGCAAATGGAAGGGTTATCCTTACATAAGGGATGGGGAGCGGGGGGGGAGGGGGGGACAGACTGCAAAACTGAAGCAGAGATATGACTACAGGTTTTAGCCACCTGAGCAAGGAGAGGTGCCAGGTTCCACGCAACCCTGAAGGAAGGGACAATAAGATCAAGATGAAGGAGGGAGCCAGGCGGCGTCCGACACAGCAGTCTACAGGGCGGCCAGAACAGACACCTCCGCCACAGGGAAGAAAACACGAGGTCAGAGCTGGCCAAACTGGCACAGGGCTATGAACTGGGAGAGCTGTGAAGGGCTTTGAAAGCCAGACCAGAATCATTTCCTGAAAACAACTCACGACAATACTGATATGGGAAAAAAGAAGCAAAGCACCCGATCCAGCGGGACTCCCACAGCAAACAGTGGGCACAACAGCAGCGGGAGAAGGGATCACGCAGAGGTCAAGGCAGGTTAGACATAAGGAGAGAGCAGACCAGCGGGAACTGCAAAGAGTAGTAGTTGTGGCTTCAGCACAGGAGCAACGGCTTTAGGTGGCAGGGAGTGCTCCGTGGATTTAAGGGGTTTTCAGCTGGAACAAAGGGAGGAGCCTGGGTCAGGAAGGGGGGCAGGTGATGGGACATGTCATATAGGCAGCAGCAGTTAACAACCCATGGGTTCAAGGACCTTAGGTGATGAGGCCAGGATGATCCCAAATCAGGGTGCTATCCGTTTCTCAGCAAGAAGCCTGGAAAGATTAAGACCACCACCAGAACCAGAAGGAAAGTGAAGTATATGATCACACGACAGCCATCGAGCACCCAATTGGTGCTTGAAAGCGTGGCAGTTTTTTCTCTCTGCGGTGCTGGACAGAAGCGGGCATGATGTGTGTCATGCATGTGCAGGAGACAGGAGGAGGCAGAGGGGGAACAACCCTGTGTCCTGCTCTGGGTGTGAGACCTCCAAGTAGTGTGGTGCAAAGAAGGAAGAACTGTGGTCAGTTTGCTGTGATGCAGCACAGGCCAGGACTGCACAGCCACGCTGCAGCCAAACCACCGGTGCCGTTTGCACCAGCTGCTGGTCTTTGCTGTGTGTCAGACATACACGAAACAGTAACTGCTGGAAGAGCACGCACCCACATTGCAAATGGGGTGCAATAGTTTGTCTCCCATACACAACTTCAACCATGTATCTATGGAGAGATGCTGCTTTGGGTGTCAGTGGTGCCCGTGAGCACAGAGACTCCGAACGCAGTCACAGCGCAGGCTCAGCGATACGCCTCAGTCAGTTCCATGCCCTTTCCTGGGCAGGAAGGAGCTTCTGCACAGTCACTTGGTTCACCTAATGATGCTAGAGGTATAAGCAAAGGCAGCTCATCAGCAACTTGACATAAGAAGAACCAAGCGCAGAGTGAAAGCCCTTAACTGGGCAGAAAGCATCTGGAGAAACACCTGATGAGATCTCCTTGTGTCGCGGACGCGGCCCAGGGCCAGACAGCCGGCAGCTCGCAGCCCCAGCCTCATGCTCTGTCTTCTCACACTGCAGGTCTGAGCGTCAAGAAGTGTGATTTCAACATCACGATGAACAACAAAAACCACCGCACAGAGGAGATCAGCACTGAAAGGCTCTTGGTGAGGCGGGGGCAGCCATTCACCATCACTGTGAGCTTCTCCGCTCCCACGCACAACCACCTGCAGCAGCTGAAGAGAACCTTCCTCACAGCACAGACAGGTAAAATCATGACCTACCTGCCGAGCCCTGCCCCTCCCCCAGCCGAGGAACAGGGCTGGTGGCAAAGCCACCTCCGGAGCTGGACGAGGTGCCCACCGGGAGAAGCGAGGCCGGTTCTGTTCATCTGAGGCAGAGGCAAGTGGCTGCTGGGCCGGCCGGGCCAAGCCCAGGTCTTTCTGCAGAACAGACATGGCAGCACCACCACCCACTGCCGCGGGTAAATCGCTGCAGCCACTCGCTTGCCTCCCCTCCAGCGGGCGAAAAGGCAGGGAGCTTGCGGACTGAGATAACAACAATTCAATAATTGACTAAAAATGAACAAAATAGTGGTGCCAATAATATTAGTGATACTAATAACACTAACCCTACTACTAATAATACGTAATGAAAATGATGGAAAATGAAACAAACCATACAATTGCTCAGCACCCGCCAACTGATGCACAGCCAGGCCCTGGGCAGCGACTCAGAGCTCGAGGGTGATGGCACCAGAGCCCACGTGAGCCCGAGAGGGTTCCCACCAGAGCCCACGCCAGCCCGAGAGGGCTCCCACCAGAGCCCGCGAGCAAGAGCGCAACTGAGAAAGCCAACTGACCCAACTGACTAACAAACAAGCCCCCCAGTCCATGCCCCGCGTACGTCCCGAGCATGCCGTGCTATGGAACGAAATCCCCCTCCGGACAGTTTGGGTTGGCTGCCTGAACTGTGCGTCCCCCACTGCTTGGAGTGAGAAAGTTGGGAACACAGGGGCAGGATCAGGAGCTGGCAAAGTCCCTGAACTGGTGCCAGCACTGCCCAGCACCAGCTGCACGCACCAGCGTGACGTGCTTGTCAGGGCAAATCCAAACCAGCCTCACAGCAGCTACCGTGAGGAAAACTAACTCTGTCCTGACTAAACCCAGCACAGCAACACAGGTCACTGCTCTGGGATTTCTCCTGGCTTTCAGCTCAGGAATGTCCACACTTCCCCAGTCTGTTACGGCTGTGTTCTGTTGGTGTTCCCTGGTGAGGAAGGGCAGCAGCATTCAGCCCACCTTGTTTTACCACCACCTGAACAATTGGCTGTGACTTTCCTCACAAGACGCTGAATCCCGGGAGCAGCAGGTCTGCACCGTTCTGGCTGTTTCTGATTTCTGCGATCGATGACATACACATCCCACTTTCACCCACGGAGACCTGAGGGCAGTACTAACCTCAGGAATTCACTGGGCATTAAGCTGCTCTCACGAGAAAGCAGAACTATGGTCCCTGCAATCTGCACGGGGTGAGGGTGCACGGCTGGAAGAGACACAGCCAGATCTCTCTGGCTACAGGATCACATCCTTCCAAAGCAGATGGAACCCGGACTGAATTTCCCATCTCCAGCCTGGGAGACCAGAAGCAGTGGAGCGCAGCACTGGAAGAACAGGACCCATTCTTCTGGACCATCGCTGTGAACACGCCTGCCAACGCCCCCATTGGCCACTACGTTCTGCTTTTACGAGCCTCCAGGTCTTCCCATCTCCTGGGCAACTTCACCCTTCTCTTTAACCCCTGGTGCAGAGGTAGGTGGTCAGCAGCAGAAAGGCAGGCGGGGATCAGGCACTTCACCAAACCAGCTCTCAGGCTCTGGCACTGTCTCCAAGGAGGCTGAGGCTGGCTCGCCTTGTGCTCACCACCACTCCTGCCCTGCTCCTCGCAGCCTCTGAAGGAGGCAGCAGCTAAAAAGGGCTGAAGGCTGCCTGCGCCAGCACTTCTGCCCTGTTCCTGGAGTACTCCGCTGCCAGAGCCCTGTCCTCCTGCTGAGGGAAATACGTTTGAGAGTGTTTGATTATAACTGGGTCTGATTGAGGCACTGGATCTTTTTTAGGAACAGAGAAGACAACAGTCAGGACAGTAGAGGAGCTGCCCAGTGCCAGGGCTTGGCTCTGGAGGAACTTTTTGAGCAAGGGAACAGAAATGACAATGAAATTCTTCTTTCCTGTCTGGTTCAGAACCTGTGGTATTTTTCCAGGGCAGAATGCCAGGGACTTCCAGTAGAGAAGACAACAGTCAGGACAGTAGGAATGCCAGGGACTTCCAGCCCCTGGAGGGTGGTGGAGTCTGCTGATGTGAGATGCAAATGCACTCTAGAGGGAACGGGTGCATCCTGTCTGATGCTTGTTTCCTCTCATCCAGACGATGAGGTGTTCTTGGCTAACGAGGCACAGCGACAGGAGTACGTTTTAAACCAAGAGGGTATCATCTACGGAGGGACTGAAAATGAAGCCCTAGCACAGCCCTGGGACTTCGGTCAGGTAAGCAAGGGGTCCCGTGTGTCCCTGCCCTCCAGCAGCCACCGGCAGAGCAGGGCTGCGCATCTCCTGCGTCTGCAGGACACCCTCATTTTCCACACTGTGGCTCTGACAAAAGAACTCGCTCCCTGCACTCACTGTCTTTGTCTAAGACTCTGCAGAACAGGGACCTGCGTCTGAAGTCCCCTAACCCAGCACATGTCATTTTAGCCACCTTCTCCAGCTGTCCTCCAGGAAGAAATTAATTGCCTGTATGTGGGCTTTGTGTACCTTCTGTTCATCAACGGACAGAAAAGCGTTTCACAGCGCTTAGTGACACTGTCAGTTTTACAGGTAAAGTGAGGACAAGTCAATCTTCCAACCTCCCAAGAACACCTGACACAGCCAGTGACTAGCACGGGGTTTTAGTCCACTTCAGTGCCCTCAAATCACGGAATTACCTCCTGCCAACGTAGAGAGTGCTCCAGAAAAGCATCAATTGCCCTCAGTCAGGGGATGCAGAACCATGCTAACGCATTTCCCGCTTGGCATCAGTAAAGCTGTAGGTCTGCCTTAGTATGCTGTGCCTCCCCTTCAAATCTCTGCCTGGAGCTCTCCCCGCTGCCCACTCACACAACGCTGCCAGGAGACGGGGAGAAGCATCTGCACCATCAGTCCCTTGCAGGGGCTCCAGAGCACAAACGCTCAGGCCAAATCCCTGAAATGAGGTGTTCTTGTTTCAGTTCGAGAAGGGTATTGTTGACATCTGCCTCACACTGCTGGATGCGGGCGAAGGCCAGCACCGAGACACGGATCGCACCCAGCACAAGAGCCCCATTTCCATCTGCCGCACCGTTGCTGCCGTGGTAAGAGCGGCCGGCCCGGCTGCAGAGCGGAGGCTGGCGCCTCCTCCACCCCGGCCACGGCAACCCCTGCCCCAGCCGCAGCCTGCCCAGCGCTGTTCCGAACAGCCCCTGCCCACCTCTCACCCTTCCCGATACTCCTGCAGCAGACAAACAGTGGTGCAGGAGTTTCTTAGCGACACTTACTGGACAGATCCTGGGGGAGGCTGCTGCACCCATTCTGCTCAGCCATGGCCCTCCTGCTTCGTGCAAAATCCCTCTTGGTTGTGTCTGCCTCGGGAGTAGCACGAGGAGTACCTACGAAGAAGAGGAAAGTCCTTAATCCATCTTTCTCTCCCCCTTCCTTGCAGCTGAATGGGGACGGGTTTGGAGAAATCCTGACAGACCGTGGGACCAGACAACACTGTCATGGGACAGCCCCATCCAGGTGTCTGGGAAGCAGCCCCATCCTCCGGCACTGGGCTGCAGCCCAACGCAAGCCTGTGCGCTACAGGCAGCGCTGGGTGTTCGCTGCCGTCGTGTGCTCAGGTACGGAGGTGTTCGAAGGCTTTTGTGTTGAGCAAAGCCTGATTTGGTCTGCAGAACCTCTAGCATAGACCAGAAACCCTGGATTAACAGAGATTCCAGTAAAATAACCTTTAATTTTTAAGTGAGAGGCAGATCCTGAGACTTTCCCCATAAGCTACCTCTGAGGCAGAAGAGTATCAGTACGCGCCACTCACCGCACACACCTACGACAGCTCATTTCCCGAGGGGCGATGCCTCTTGCAAAGTCCAACCAGCAGCCTGATGCCACCCTCCCAGGCCTAGCACCAAAAGGGCACTGCATCTGTCAGCAGAGGCACCCTTCGGGCAGGTTGCACAACCGATTCACCGCTCTTTCTTCTGTGCAGTTCTGAGGTGCCTGGGAATCCCCACCAGGGTGGTCACGGGCTTTACGTGGGCTCACAGCACCACCAGCAGCCTGCGCGTGGATGAGTTTTACGATGAAGATGGGACTCTGCTTACGGAAGACAAGAGTGCCCGTGTCTGGTAAGAAAACATGGCAGGGGCCAAGCAAGAATTTTGAGACAATACTTTGATCCAGAAGTGAGACAGTGGGGAAAGCAAAGAGGTAAACAGCTGGAGGGAGGTGGATAGGAGACAGCTCAGCTGAGATCCTGTCTACATGACTCGTTCTTGAGAAACTGCTGCAACCCAGACCGAAGAGTGCCCTATGCCTAAGGCCCACAAAGGAAGAGTAACCCAGTGCAGCTGGAGAACCTCCAGTTGTGTCAAAAAACCTGGTCCCTGCTCTCCTCAGCTTGCACTAAGCTCTTCCAAAGGAACACCAACGGGCTGTGGTTTGCCTAAAGCTTTACTGTACCTCAGGGCCAAGTCCCTCTGTATAAGCACATGACGTTGTCTCTTGCAGGACCTTCCACGTTTGGAATGAATGCTGGATGGCTCGAGCGGACTTGCCTCCAGAGTATAGTGGGTGGCAGGCACTGGATGCCACCTGCCAGGAGAAAAGCAAAGGCAAGATATCAAAGACAAGCTTGGGGGGTGGGGGAGAAGTGGAGCAGGGAGTAAGTAAAGAAGTTCAGTGTTCCTCCCTTCCCCAATTTCCAATGGAAGGATGTAAAAGGACAGGGACTCACCCTGTTGACTCTGAGCACCACGATTCAGATGTTAGGTTTGTGCAGCTCGAAGAGCTCCCTCACAGCACTGGTCCCTAATGTCCTCCTAAACCAGGCACTTCACCACGCCCAGCCTAGGTCCAAACTAGGCATGGACCTAGTTGGTGAAGCATCTGAGTCTGAACTGGGTCACACTTCCCTCCTCAGGGCCATCCTGCCGTGGGCCAGCCCCTGTTCAAGCCATCAGGGAAGGGGACATAGAGGTCCATCACGATGCCTGCTATTTCTTTGCTGCTGTCAATGCCAAGTGCCAGGTCTGGATACAAAAAGCAGATGACACCCTCCAACCAGCTCTCGGTGGCAGAAAGTACACTGGCAACAATATCAGCACCAAGAGCGTGGGCAGCGAACGCTGCGAGGACATCACACACAACTACAAGCATCCTGAAGGTACGGGGCAGGCAAGTGGCTGAGCATGTTCCCTGCCAGTGTCACAAGTGAAGGGCAAAGGACTAGGGAGCAGAGCCCAACCACAGCATCACGGTCATCCACTTCTCACTACCTCCCCTTCCTGAAGGGCAGAAGAACACTTTGTCCATCTACAGAATCAAAGCACAGGTCACACACCAAATTTCATCCTGCTTTATTACATTAACCAGCCCTCTCAAAGGCCAGGCTTCTCTTCACCGGGCACTGCCCTGTCTGGAAAACCTTCCTTCCCTATTTCTGTTACCTGTACACTCCATGCATTCCCCTCCCGTCACCCGTGACATACAGAGATCTCACACTCCAGCTTTCTGGGAAGGACTGTTGTGCTTCCACATAGTGTCTAAATCCCTCCTTCAAAAAGCATCTCCCCTGTCAGAACCTAGTACCGAGTGCTGTCCCCCGACTCAACCACACCACCTCCCTCAGCCCTGCCACACCGGCTCCGGGGCTGCAGTCCCTCACGAGGGGACGCAGAGGCAGCTGCCTCTCTTACTGGCAGGAGTCAGCACCAAGATGCTTTAAAAACCACGACAAACCTTTCCAAGTAGACTCTTCCAGGTACATCCATAAACAGCCCTGCCAGCTGAAACTCTCAAACTGCTCTGACCAGAAGCAGAAGATCTCTCTCTATGCCCTTAGACACGGGTATCTACAGTACTGCTGGGATAATCCAGCACCACCCTGCATTTACTGCCTCACGGTAGGAAACAGGAGAGAGCACCCAACGGTGTGTTCCCTCTCTTGTGACAGGTTCTCTCCAGGAAAAAACAGTACTGGACAAAGCCTACAGAAAGATAAAGAAGCTTGAGACAACCAGCAGCAGCAGCGAAACCCTGTTTAGCTCCACTCCTACGGCCCTTGAAGAGCCAGTTAACCTCTTCATCCACCTCCAGTCCGAGAGTTCTCTTCTCCTGGGAGAAGATGTTCCAATTTCCATTGCAGTGTTTAATCACGGTGATGGAGAAAAGGCTACTCACCTGGTCGTTGGGGCCCAGTCTCTTCATTATAATGGTGTGCCCATTGCCCAACTCTGGAAGGAAGAGTTTCATTTTCTCCTCAAAAGCCATGAAGGTAAGGACTCTCCTGGGTGCATGGCGAGAAAAGTACACCTAGCCTGCTCACTTCAGGAAAGGCGCGCTTAGCCCTACGTTTACAAAAGGTTGGCTGAACAGCTGTTGCAGGTGATTGAAAGAAAACACCTTGGCAACATCACCTTCCAGATTCTGAACGTGCAGATCCAGTTGGGATCAGTTAAGCTTTTAAAGGCTGCAGCTTTTAGTACAATTCTGGGCACTAAACACTCCAAGGGGCCATGCAGGCTAAGGCCAGGCTGTCCTGACCGTCTGCATGTCACTGCTCTGTTTCAGGTAACAACCTGAAGGTCTTTGTGCCTTACTCACAGTACAGAGAAGTGCTGGGGGAGAACCACCTGCTCAGGCTGACGGCCATGCTGAGAGACGAGGACTCCTTCGACGTACACTTTGCACAGGAAGAGATCAGCATCCGTGATCCCTCTCTCACCATCGAGGTCAGATGAGTCTGTCGTTGTTACTGCAACAGTGAGAAAGCAGCTTTCACAGCCATCAGCAGCAAAACAGTTCTGCTGGGTTGAGTGGCTCTCCTCGTGCTGTCTGCTTCCAAGCACGGAGCCATCCATTGTGGGAAGGTGAGCTGTGCCGCACTGCCGCATACGGCACAGCCGCGTACGGCACGGCCGCTTCCACCTTGTCTGTGTGAGCACAAGGAAATCCCAACGACTTCTGTGTCTGGGAGTCAGAGGCTGCAGAAGGAAACTCCAGCAAAAGACTGTCACTGAGAAGAAAGTGACCTGGATTTTGCCCCTTCTGTCAACTGGCAGCTCAGGCTGAGACCTCTGGCACCAAAAAATCATTTATTGCTCTGTAGTCATAGAAGAATCTCTTTCCTTCCCTCAGTTTCAGCTCCTTTCCTTCTTTCAACAGTTCCCAGAAAAGCTGGTACAGTATCAGCCCGGCACAGCAAAGATCAGGCTCCTGAACCCGCTCACCGAGCCCTTGGAGGAGTGTGTGATAGTGGTTGCAGGGCGAGGGCTCATCCATGGACAGAGGAGGTACAGGTAGGTGCGAGCTGACAGACCTGAGAACAGTCAGTGGAAAAGGAGACAGCACATGCCAGAGAAACCCTGCACAGGGAAGGCTGTCCCCAAAAATGAGCAGGCACAACACGGCAGGAAGACTGCTACAGCTTGCAACCCCAGGTACCCCTCCTGTCCTTCCAGACAACACCACAGGTTTTCCCACTGGAAAGGGGAAGAGCCAGATAACAGAACTTCCAACAGATGTGTAGGGGACAAGCTGTGGCCAGCGTGCCATTTGTGAAAGCTTTGCCTCCCAAGGCTAGAGAGGAGCAATGCCTCCCCAGCAAACGGGGTAACACGGGAGGTGCAAGGCTGGGGCAGAAACACCCATGACACGAGGCAGTTACAGGTCACTGGAATGAGCGATGGAATTTGGCAATGATTTGCTGCTGAGAAAGCAGCCGGGTTTTAGCTGCCCCCCCGACCACCCACACCTTTCCAGCTGCTGTCCCCGGGTGCGTTACAGCATCCTCCCGTTCTCTGACTCGGCAGAGTCGTGCCAAGGCCATGCTCCCCTGGGCACAACACAACCTCACGTTTCCCTCAGGAAGCTGCACTAGGACAGACTCCATGGAGAGTTCAACCCCCTATCTCCCTCCCCAGCTGCCGAGATCCCAATTCCCTGGTGGCAGTTTAGAGAACCGACAGCCCTCCACTCTTCTTTCCTCCCGTCACAAATGCGCCCTCGGGCCCTGGGAACTAGAAAAACACAGCGCACTCGCCACCTAACTCCTTCTCCTTTCAGGCTGGGCTCTGTGCAACCGAACAGCAGCCAAGAGCTGCCAGTCCCATTCACCCCCACCCAGGCAGGGCCCCGAAGGCTCACGGCACGTCTCACCTGCCGTCACCTCCGGAACGTGAAGAGCTACAAAACCACCACCATCGCCGCTGCCTGATGCCCAGCTGGGAGCAGGCCCTGCCGTCCTGTCATGGGGCGGTGCGACCTGTGCCCTGATCTTGGCCATGAGGAAGTCACCAGTTCCATTAAAGTGGCAGTTAAAACTGTGTCTGATTTTGATTATTTGTACAAACTCAACTCTCTGCCCAGGTTACAAGCTGAACCTTGCTGGGACAAAGCTGGGCGAAACGCCACAGCAGACGTGGCACTTCCCACCGGGCACAGGCCGAACCCACTGCTGCTCAGTCGCTTCTCCCTACCTGTGGCAAACAAGGATATCCTAGAACTGTCAAGTGATGGTGGATGCAGCACTTCTCCCGAGGCACACGCTTATCCCCCTACAGATCCTTGACGCTGGTAAAGTAGTACATGTTATTTTCTACTGCTTTCTGAGGAAACAGAAAAGAGAGAGACCGTTGACGCTTCTCCAGGGTTAGACAAGAAACAGCAGCAGTGCAGCATGGTTTTAACAACTCGTTGGGCTTGCAGAAGCAGCAAGACCCTTCCCTTCTGCCCATAACCTCTGTCTCCTGCGAACAGATAAAGCCACTCATGCAAATCTACCAGTACTTTATTGGTCTCTGGAGCCCACAGTAGCTGTGAGGCCTGAAGAACGGAGCACGTTCACAGCACTAAGGTGCAGTACCGCACCATTCCAGGAACCCAAGCAAAATGACACCTTCTGCAACGGCCAAGAGCAACTTCCTGGGAAAGCTTTAGCAAGTGGCAGGAAAGTTCTCTCCTAAAAATACTGTTCTCATCATCCCCCAGTAGCTGGAGAACAGCGAGCTTCACTGGAAAAGCATATTGCAGAGCCAGTGGCAGCAATACGTGTAGAAGTGGAAGGACTAAAGTTGGCCCTGTGTGAAGTCCTTGATTTTGTTCATGTTGTGATCTACTGCACCAGCCAGAAACTGCACCCAGCCTTCCTCTGACGGCGGACACACATGGCTTGTCCTGCAAAAGGGGAGGAAATTCATTAGGAAGCCTCCTGGGTGTCTCAGACCCCTGCACTCAGACAACACCCGGGTAATGCGAAGTGAGGAATTACCAGGGCATTCCAACAGGATGCCTACAGGCCCAGAGTGCTCTAGGAAGGAATAACTCACACCCACCTCTAGTCCCAAACTTAACACACGTGTGTGTGTCTTCACTTTCATCCTTTTCTTACTCCCATCTCTTTGTGACTGGATAACATCACAATTATTCCAAAATGCCAGCATTTACTGTCTAGAACTGAGTAATCTTTGACAGGAAGCAGAAAGTTATCAGCCCCTGGAGCAGGGAGCACACGCTTCCATGACAGATACTCACTTCGTAATCTCCAAGACTTTCGTTAATACCGAGGCCAATTTAGCAGCCTAGGAAGAAACAAAAGGGAAACAAAGTGAGCCAAACATGGAAATAAGGGGGGCTCAGCAGTACTGGAAAATAAGGGGGTTGCAGCAATGCCCAACACAGCCAGGAATGAGTAAAAGTGCCTTCAAACCCGATGCCGAAGGAAGCTCTGTCGCTGCCATGCTGGGAGTGACTCCCAGTCTACCGCTGCCTGGGACAGATGGAAACGCATCCAGCCTGGTTTTTCCAGCATATGCTGAAATGCTTTTTCTTTGAAAAGATAAGCCTGTTAGAATTTGGTAACTGGTATCAAGGCATGAACTTACCCCCAAAAATCAAGCCACCAGCCACAGGCATGAAACCAGATGTAAGAATAAAAAATCTCAGACCACGCAAGGGACCCTGGGAAGTCACCTAGCGCCACCTCCTGCTACAGCAAGGCCTCCCTCCAAGCCCAGTCCAAGTGCTCGGAGCCCGGCCTGGTCAGGGTTTGAGTGTGGCCAGAGATGGAGATCCTGCCGCGGCTCCGAGCAGCCTGCGTCCGTGCTTAACCAGCACCACTGCCAGACTTCGTACTCTGCGTATTTCATGTAGGTGACTCTGAGCAGGTCTCCATGACCCAAGGAAGGACACAGACTGGCAGCACCTCAGCAGCCCTAGACCTCACCTTCCTGAGACTGCCACGGGACATCTCTACGTACTATAGCTCAGAATCCTGCCGCGGCTCCGAGCAGCCTGCGTCCGTGCTTAACCAGCACCACTGCCAGACTTCGTACTCTGCGTATTTCATGTAGGTGACTCTGAGCAGGTCTCCATGACCCAAGGAAGGACACAGACTGGCAGCACCTCAGCAGCCCTAGACCTCACCTTCCTGAGACTGCCACGGGACATCTCTACGTACTATAGCTCAGAGCCAACGCTTTCTTCCCTGAAGAGGTGAAGATGAGGGCTGCACTTCCTCCTGAAGGAAGTTATGTGTGCAAGAACCAAAGGGGACTCTTCATCCCTACAAACTTGTTACAGAGATAGTCACCAACACGGTCACATAATCCCCCAGTTTGATTCCTTCCCCTTCTCTACCGCCCAGGGAGCAGACTCGCACGCGGGCCGCGATACTTACATTGAGTCGCACAGCCAGCTGGTTCAGAGGTGGATACATGCTCAGTGCCAGCTCATCGACACTGGAACAGAAGAGAGGAGCAATGGGAGAAAGGTCCCAACAGCACAACTCACGGGCCCTTGTCAAAGCCCACACCCACCCTGAATGTACATCCGGAATGGCAGCGCATGGCAAGGAGATGACGTCACACCCAGGGGACGCTCCTCGCTGCCTTCGCAGACATCCGTGTGCCACCCTCACCTCAGCACCACCCCAAAGTGCAACACTCCTCTCCTACCCTGCACAAGGCTTAACAGCCTGTGCCCCACGGTCTTCCCACAACAGCAGCTTCCATCACCTGCTCACAGCGCCAGTATCAGAGGTTTTCCTAATCCATTCTCTAGACCTCGAGACACACAGGGACTGTGTGTCTGGAGCAAAAGGCGGCACGGGGAGACCTGCTTACCTTGGGCTGATCTCATTGGCGATGTCTGCCACATCATCCAGCTGAGCGATGTGCTCCGGAGAATCAGCTTTGCCGTAAGCCTTCACTGCACCCAAGACCTTCTTCAGGCAGGCTTTAGACGCCTTCATTAACCCCACGCAGGAACTAAGCAGCTTCCGGTCAGCCTCTGACCAATACGTATCTCTGTTGCCCCGAAAGCCCAGCTCTTCATCTTCCATGATGTCACTGTAGGGGTCCTGCCCATCCACCAGAGCCTGAGAAGAGAGACTGACTGAACGCCCAGAGCCTGACACCCATTCCAGCAATATCCAGGAGGAAAGGCAAAGCATCATCTGGAACTCATCCAAACAACTCATGGAGGAATCTCTCTCTAACCAACATCTCAGCTGCCAGATTCTGTTAATGCTGGCAGGACTGGATTAAAACCACCTAATCCCCCACTCCAACAGGGCAAAGAGCAGGAACCTAGCGAAGTGCCCTTCTCACATCAAGCCAAAGCGCCACCCCATCGCTCAGGACATGGCTTAGAGCAGCCTGTAACGTGAAGGGGGCACGCGCTGGCAAAGCCATTAAGGCCCAGGCACCATCCAGTAACGCAGCTCAGATCACAACACACCTAAAGCAAAGCCTGTATGTAAAACAACCCTGTGTTCCCCCACTGCAGGCTCCTGTAAGGCTCAGGGGCTCCCTTACATGTTCCATCTCCTCCAGAGCATCCTTGACCACACCCAGACACGCAGCCAGCGCTGACACAACTGCTGCCTGGTTATCTGTAAAAGCAAAAAGATGAAAACTGTGGCACTGCACTGATCCAAATCAGGGAAAATTCCAACAGAGTTCATCTAGGTTTGCCATCAGCAGATCCTGAGACTGGAAGATCAGATGTTTTGCAGAGCTGCACTGTTGCCATGCAAAGGCTCTGGCCTGGCTGGCACGCTTCCGCATTTCGAGACCAGCCGGGCTCTGCAGAACGAGCCAGCCTTGACTGCACTAGCCAGCATGGCCCTTGCAGGGAGCACCAATATTCCACCATAACACAGCCTAGATCTGCTGTTCTGCACACACAACACTCACCTCGTGGCAGGTTGGACACTTGCTCACATGCCTCCCACACACCACCAGTTGATATGAGCTGCTCCTGAGACAAACTGAAACAAAACAAAGCCCCCAAAGTCACACTCGGTAACACCACTCTGCCAGACTGCGGGTTTTTCTGCAAAGGTGATGCACCCCAGCAGAAGTTCTGCTGGCTGTCACCAACCAGCTCGCCACTAGTATCTCACGTCTGTGTAAAGCAGGAAGTGCTGGCTCCTATTGAGTCTGATTATCTGCTGGGACAAGAGGGAGGAGCCTCCTACAAAGGCCTCTCAAGGTGCTCAGTCGTATCATTTATCTTTCAGAATCGATCCACACCAGAATTCTGTACTACAGACTCTGCCTGAGGGCAGCGGCATGTGACCCAGGAAGAGAGGACACGGTCCATTGTGGTCCAGTAACGAGCTTTACAAAGTTGCACAATCATTGTGTACAACAGTTCGGTCCAAGGACAAAATCCGCCCAACAGTGCAAACGCTACCCAGCGCCTTCCTGGGAATCCCACTCCAGCACCTCTTTCCCGGCCACAGACAGGGTGAAAACCTGTTCTCCAAGTAGCCATTTGTAGGCAAACGCACCCAACTCAATCACTGGGCCAAGAGGCGACTGTCAGGGCCTTGGGGGTATTCTGCCCTCCTAGGAGGTTAGCTGACCCAGCTGGAGGCCAGTTGGCCGAGCTCCTTTGCGGACAGAAGGTACTGTGAAGAAAGCTGGAAGTGAGGGCCTGGGAGAGGCTTTTCCCCCAAGGCTCCCCACTGGGCCCTGTTCATGCTACTTCACAGCTGGGTAGCAGTTCTGTCTGTACCCAGTCTCGTACCCCCTTGATTCCGACCTGGATGCTGGATTGACCTCAGGCTTAACCCCTCGTAATGGACTCACTGTGCCATCCTGAGACAGTGTCTGATGCTGACACTCTCTCTGGACCTGCCCCTCATCCCGACTTGCTGGCCTGACTCCAGCCTGCTCTCATCGCTACGGAACTGTCCGATGATCTGTACTC